TTTTTTGGTCATTCAATTTTTTTTTTTTTTTTTTTTTTTTGGTACCAGGGATCGAACTCAGGTCCCTAAGCTTGCGAGGCAGGCGGTGGCACCACTGACCTAAATCCCTGGCCCAAATGCAAATTTTTAAAAGTCCAATGAAAAAGGGTACTATCATTTTCAGAGGATGTGAAGAATGCTTGGTTCTCAAAGAAGAGCCTGGAGGGGTATGAATGGTTCATAGCTGGGATAAGAGGCTATGTGGTTCCCTGTGAAAGCCAAAATGACAGCGTTTCCTTCTTAGAATAGATTTCAAAGTTTCTTTTCCATATAGAAAATAGCATGATAAAGTATTCTTTGTGGCTTGGGTTCAGAGTCACCTTTATGTGTCAGTATGAGTTACAGACAATATGAAAATGTGCCTATGTGTCTGTATTTTGAAAACTATTTGTCAGATACTATAATGGTTTTTGAACTGTTGAGGAACTGATTAGGTTTAATTGAGTTATATGAGTATTCTCATCATTCTAGATATATTTGAGGTTGAATAATAATTTTGTTTCATTAAGCAGATCCTTTCATTTGTTATGTATTTTTATTTTTATGCTTAGCATGCCTAAAACATACTATGATGATTACTTTGGGTTTAATTAAGTCCTTCAGCATGCAGCATATTGCCTGGCCTACAGCAAGTGCATAATAATTGTTTGAACCCATGAATTAATATATGGTGTTATATTAAGATACATGCTGATATTCTTTTGCTGGCTTATCTTTTCCTACTAACCCCTTATTTTCAGTTAATTAAAAGGGAATTATTACAACACATTCTAAAGAGAAAATATTAATATTGGGATTTAAATATTAAAATTTTTAGGCAATAGACGGGTCATTACATTCAAAAACAAATTGTAAAATATGAAAAGTACAGATAATTTTTCTTCTAGTGGAAGTGGTGTGTACAGAGTGAAAAAGACTGACTAGATTATTTATAAAAGATCAAGGATAAACCAGAAATGGTAGTGATTTTGTTATTTCCCACCATCTCAGTTTCTTTCCTGGAGATAAGGTTGTTTGTTATATTGCCAATTTTACATCATGATAGCAAAAAAGGGAGCTCATCACTCCAGCCTCCAAATGCCCATGTTCAGACACCAGAGAAGTTACAATTAAAAGTTAAGTTTTTCAGAGTATAACACATTTTGAAAGTCAAGAAATGATGATTATTTTCTGTATATTTTAATGTCATCTTTATAGTCATACTCTTTTTTTTATCCCCTCTTTATAGTCATACAGTTTATCAAGAAAGAAAATTGTGCATTATACCTGTTTTGACCAACGGAAAAGAGCAAACGCAGCATTTTTGATAGGTGCTTATGCTGTAAGTATTTTCTTCATGATTGTTTTTTATAATCAGGACAGTGGAATGCTCACACTTTCAATAAAATCCAGGCCGTTTTACCAGTGGGATTGTAAAAGGGGAGAGATTGTTTGCATCTTGGGAATTGGTCTGCCGTCAAAAGTGTGGACTAGTGCTGATGGGGAGTTTACTTGCTAGAGTTTATCTTCTAGTAGCTAGTAACAGAATATTGCAGCCACAATGTATGGCTTGCACTCCGTAGTTGTATGTTTTAATAAGAATAACTGGCAAGACCATTTTCTGGGGAAAAAATAATGTGGGTATGTATGTGAAGGGTAAGGATGGGTAAGAGAGAAAATAGACATGAGCAAAATACACACAGCAAAACACAAGAAAGTAATTTTTTTCAAAGAAAAAACAATTTACAGAAAACTTTTATTATCTGTTAAGTTTTTCCATTTTGGGGGAGAAGAAATCTGAGGTAGCTAAAGAACACTAGAATGCTGGTTTGTTGTTGTTGTTGTGGTGGTACCTGGGATCAAACTCAGGACCTCAGGACTTTGCACTTTCAAGGCAGGCACAGTGCCACTGAGCTAAATCCTTGGCCCCAAATACTGTTTTTTTTTTTTTTTTAAATCAATCCATTCATCTATACAAATGTTTGCAGTAAGAAACTGAAAAAAAATCATGCATATATTACAGTTTCCCATATAGACAACAACTTTGAAAAATAATCTTGAGTAGATTTTTTGTTCTCTGCAAATACAGAATTATTTTGAAGATCAAATATCCAATTACTTGTTCGATAGCTTCATATTATATATCTAGAATGATATCTCAAATTTACTGCTTTTTGTCCCTTTTCTCTGTAAATCTATTTGTTCCTCTAGTCACCTCCTGCCGACACGTCCAGTACACATGAGCTGCCGTTACTGACCTGCTAAATCAAAACCATAGGCGTCATTTTGGCTCTCTGTGTTCCCTCATCCACATTACACATATTGGTAACTTTGGTCAGCTGTCGGTGCACCACGCACATTGAAATGGACTACATCTTCCCATCAGTGGGTGTCAGCTGGACCAGTCATGGCTAACCTGCAGCGTGCGTGCTGTGGCCAGCTGTTATCATAGAAAGCTCTAAAAGGTTCTCATCACTGACCTACACCAAGACTCTGCTGTTTTTCATCTGAATTACCCCAACGACTTTATATTTTGTTTTCTGTTTTCCTTTTTACATTCTTGCTCCCCTTTAACTTTGTTGCCACATACATTGTCAGAGCGCTCTTAAAAATACAAATTAGAGCTGGGTGTGGCAATACATACCTGTAGTCCCAGCTTCTTGGGAGACTGAGATGAGAGGATCACTTGAGCCCTTGAGTTTGAGAACTCATCTCCAGAAAGGAAAACAAAAACAATAATGTATACGCAGATATATAAATTAAAACACCTGCCTCAAATCTGTGCACTGTTCGTGGAGTAAAATAGTTCTCTTCCTAATGCCATTGAGATTCTTTCCGGTCTGACTCTCTCTACCTCTGTGAACTCCTTTCTCAGGATGGTCCCATCATGCTGGCCCTCTGACCATGGAAATCTCTCATTTGTTTCCACCAGGAGGCCTTGGCATTTCTGGTCTCTCCCTGTGGAATGTTCTTTTCCAGTCCTTTGCATGTCTGGTTCCTGCTAACATTGCTGTCCCGGATTTTCACATTTTACTTTACTGTCTCCCATAGTTACCCACCAGCCCACTGCTGTTTTATTTTCTTTACAACATTGTGCAATTTGAAATTATTCTGCTTATGAATCTCTTTCCCGGACTATAGGGTAGGGACCTTATCTGTTTTTTTCTGTTGCTTTGTCTAGTGGTTGATAAAATATTTAACAAGAGGTTAGGCCCAGGCATTTACCTTTGAATTGGAAGCTTGCCATAAAGCTGGGGCAGTCTGGGAGGCATCTTGCTGTGCTCACCTGGTGCCATATGAAAGAGGGGGTACTGGGGGTAGCAGCTGTTTGCCAACTGCTCTGGAACTATGTCATTGCTTGAACACTGAGCATCAATGTTGGAACTCTGCTGGGCCCCTCACAGATGGCTCTATAAGTAACTACTATATGAATGAGTTGTGGGGTGATAAGATACAAGAGAAAGAAAGAAAGAAAATAGGAAGAAAGAAAGAAGAAAAGAAAAAGAAAGAGTGAAGGAAGTAGGTAATTCATAGACAACTCCTGAAAATTATCAAGTTAGACATGAAGTGTAAAACGGTTTCTTCTTCATTACCAGAAGAACATTTGTGGTGATGACTGAGCCAAAGCAAAGAATCTTAGATCAAAGGTTGTGTACCTGGTGTATAAAGTAATGCCACTACCTTGCTTTTTTAAAATTGCTTTTATCTTCCTAATTTTTATTGTGGCAAAATATGTACAATGGAAAATTTACTGTCTGAATTATTTCTAAGCATGTGATTGTTTAACTGTTAAGTTCAGTGGTATCAAGTACTTTCATACTGTCGTATACCTAGCACCATGTGTCACTTTTGAGCGTGACGCCTCGTGGTGTACACGATGTGCCTACGGAGTCAGGCTTTGCTTGTGGCTTCTCTGTCAAACCACAACAGTGTGCTGCTGAAGCTTTTGTGTTTCTGTTTCCTTAGCTCCAAGTGGAGAGAGTCGCTTTACACTTCTCTCCCAGAGTTGTGATGAGGATCAACAGGAAGTGGGAACAGGCCCTCATGTTCAGCTGGGAATCCACAGAGTAGGAATCCATGGGTGATCTTAAAGCCAGGATTGCTGGGGTGATGTGGTGATGCTTAAGGACCACAGGGAATTCCCAACTCGCAAATCCTCTCTTCACTTCCTAAACTCTGACATTGTGATCCTCAAGTGTGAGGACTGAAATTTTAAGAAGAGATCATTGTAAAGCTGGGCGTGGTGGTGCACCCCTGTAATTCCAGCACTCGGGAGGCTGAGGCAGGAGGATCGCTGTGAGTTCGAGACCAGCCTGGGCTACATAGTGAGTTCCAGGTCAGTCTCAACTACATAGTGAGACCCTGTCTCAAACCGCCTCCCCACCAAAAAGAAGAGATCATCTTTGCCAGAAAGATGTTTCCCTTCCAGAACAACACTTGTGCAATTTGTAGAGTTAGGGTACATGATGACATCTAAAATATTTCCATATGAGTTTGAAGAAGATGGCTTTAAAAATTACAAGTAGAAATGAATTAGATACTTACTTGCCACATGCTTTAAGGCAAATTTTCACTTTGTGTACCATAACATTTTTAGCTCACAGCCTGTAGTAGTCAGATCAAGGAGAATTTGGGTCCATTTGGATTCAGGCCAAACTAATTGAAGCAATGGAAAAATAATATGTATGAGCAAAATTTAAACTAAATGTGAGGTTGTTTAATTTAGAAAATCGGGTTCAGAGTTAAAGAGTTACGAGTGTTTTCAGGTGTGTGGAGGTTTAAATAGAGATGCTGTCTACATTATGTTTTCTTAACCCAATTGTTCCGCAAGTTTTCAGATTGCTGGTGAGAGCTCTACATTATCACCTGGGACGAGCCTGAACCTAGTGTCATGTCTGAAATGAAGACGAGAAGGCAGAGGTTCATGAACTTCCTAACCATGCCTGTATCTGCTTCTAATTTTGTAGACCCCATGTAAGGCCCGAATAGTTTTGTTCTACTACCATCTACACACTAGTAGCAAAGGTGCTGTTCTCCATCTGTAATGGTGGTGGAGAACAAGGACTCTGGCCTAGGTGCAGGCTTGGCTTCCAGTCCACCTTTAGTTGTATGTCTTGAGCAAGTTACTTCATTTTTTCAGATTTTTTTCTGATTTTTCTTCTTTAATGTGAGGATAATAATATCTTGGCTAACAGAGTTGTGATGAGGCCTGAGAGAGGTCATGTGTACAAAGGTAGCATTGGTGTGGGGTTGGGAGCACGTAGGAAAGCCTGGCGGCTCTGGGTGGGGAAGCTGTGTGGCCTTCTCAAGTTTTCTGAGCCGTGCTCCGACCTCCTATTATGTACCTGTTTTGTATTCAGACCTTTAGACTGCGCCTTGAAGATCTGAAGACCTGATGTCGGCTACCTGTCCCTTGTCCACTATCTTACCATCCCTCTCTTTTTACAGTGAAGCCCTTCCTTGGCTCAGTAATTCTCAAGGGCTTGTTAATCTGATTATTGCTTAGTAGAATTCCCTGGAAGGTGTGTAAGCTCCACCTTCCTGGAATATTTGTTTTTTTTGTTTGTTTGTTTGCTTGTTTTTTTTTTTGAGACAGGATCTCACTATGTAGTTCAGACTGACCTGGAGCTCACTATGTGGCCCAGGCTGGTCTCGAACTCACAGTGATTCTCCTGCCTCAGCCTCCCGAGTGCTAGGATTACAGGCGTGCGCCACCACACCTGGCAGGATGTTTGTGATACAGGAAGAAACTGAGCCAAATGAATTTCTCATTTGTGAGCTGTGTAGTCAGGTATTCATTAGTCAAGCAAATATTTGCAGCATTATTTACCTTCTATGAGCCCTGCATAGCCCTGTGATAGGCTTAAGGGACTATGAAAGGAAAAAAAAGGAAAAGAACAAAAAGACTGCCTAAGTTAACATGGGGGAACAGATGAGCAATAAGTAATTGTGGGAAGTGTGCAATAGGCTCCAAGTTTGGAAAGATGGAAATTCACTGAACACATTGTTTTTGAGCAGTTTCTACGTGGCAGCCATTGCTCTTGGAGTTGATGGTACCAAGGCGAATGACTCCTTGTCTTCTGTTCTAGGTGTTGGGGCCAGGGGTCAAACCTGGAGAGAGGGAAGAATTAGGTTGGCCAATCCTAAACCCAGTGGTTGTGGCGTAAATCTGTAATCCCAGAACTCTGAGAGGCTGAGGCAGGAAGATTGTGAAAGAAGATAGAATGGGAAGGGACTTCCACTTGAGGGAAAGAAAGATGCTATCATTCCTGTACCCTTTCTTCTGGGGTTCTTTCTCTGTTTTTGGCTGCTATGAAGTAAAAGTGCTTTGCTGTATCCAGT